ATCGACGCAAATTGCTGTGAGCGGTGACTGCTGTGGCGGGCTAAATATGCCATTTAAGCGATGTAATCTCAAATTTGTTGGCGCATGAAGGTTTTCCCGCGCTCATGCGCCAATTCCTCTTTATGACTTCCAAGTTGCGTTGGACGCCTTGCTTTCACCTTTCCACACAGGGTGCAACTCATGCCAATCAAGGTGGCCTCTCAAACAGCAATTTGCGCAAAATCTCATTTGTTGTCTTCACACTTCTCTGAGAAAGTAGGTCCATCCAATTTAGAGCTGGAAATTTGAAATAATAGTTGGCTTAAGCAGATTGGAATTTCCGTTTGTATTTCAAATATGAGAAACTAGCAGAATTTTTTCTTAAACCAACCAATCACGGTGAGTCATAATCACCTTGGACCATCCAACTTTCCATACTTCAACTACGACAAGAAAAAAATAACTGAATGCCATGAAGTAATTCGGATAGTGTGAATGTCCTACCAGGCAAATTGAGAAACGAATTATCGGGAAGGCACTGTAACACAGCATTCATTGTTCACTGGTGGTGTTTTCCAATAAAAAGGAGAAAAATCTTTTTTTTTCGATTTAAGGAGTAAAGCAAGTCCTCCATTAGGCATTTAAGTAAAAAGATCTCAGAGATGGAGAATGTTTGCTGGAGTTTGTGAAGCGAGGACCAGCTGCTTACTCAACTGTTTGTCTAGCGTTGATCAACCTTTTTTCCCCAGAAGCGTTTCCTCCTTCGAGCAACTTTTTGGCCCAGAAATAAATCACTGGGGGAAAAATTTGTCCCTTTCAAATAACAGCTCGGAATTAAATGCAGAAATTAGCCCTGAAAGAAGTTAATTTAAAGCCCTACATTTGTAAAAATTTTTCCTCTTAGAATTTATGAGTTAATAGGACGCCGACAGAGAGGCAAGAATTTCATTGAAATTCAAATCAAAATTATGAGCCTAATATATTAGTGTCAATTAGGTCGTACAAGTTTCTCTTCCTATTCTCTTTCGACACATGCGCTGACGCATTTTTGGAATCATGGGGACTTTTGAACACACCATGCCATTGTCATTCGCGCCAAATGGGGTGAAATCCGCCTGAAATTCGAGAGAGAAAGGCATACGGCATAAGACAGTGGAATTGGCATGACATTCGCTATTTTAATGAAACAACCGCAGGACGGATGAGTCACATTAAGGGGGGGGGGAGTGTCGGCAGACACAGACGGCGGTGGGGGGTCGGTCTGACAAATTCTGACCCCTGCAGGTGAAGAACGCAACTCCCTCAGAATCCTTACGGTGAAAATATGAAACTGATTGGAGATGTCCACTGGTCTTTGGGTGGAAATTCATGATTTGCAACACGTCATCTCTGCAACCTCACAGAAGGTCACCAAAACTAACTCATATTGTGCGAATGATTCGTCAGGCCTAGACACCTTCCTCTTAACCAATAAATGCACGCAGACGTGTCTATGGTAGAGGCGAAATAGTGGACCAAATACACAGGTTTGATAAAATTGAATTACCTAAAAATGAAAGTGGAATTAATATTGTGGAAAGAAACTAATGCAAAAGGATCAATTGTATTGTGCACCAATTAGAAGTGGAATATTTTGCAAAATGATTTGTCCGAAAAGATTTAAGTCACCAATACGCATTTCAGTGAAACACCCGAATCAAAACAATCTACGAATTTGGTTAACGACGATGATGATATATTGAAATCCCTGATTGAATCAGTTTCTCACTTAACTCTGGAACTTAACTAGTATTGCAGATATTCACATATCAACGGTGAAGTGTGTAATCGTACTTAGATGGTGTTGATGCGGTGAACAAGAAGTCAATTTGTGGGTGACACTTCAAATTAGTCCTCCCAATGAGAGAGAGGAAACAGTGAAGGAATTTTCCCCTTCACATGAAAGTTGCAACTGGAGTCGAGGAGTGGATCGTTGATGGACAGAGTTGGTGGTTAAAAACCATGCTTGTCTCCAAATCAAACACCTACTCCATCAACCAAGCCAAACCAGTGTTCGCTCTTCTGAAACCATCACACAGTTGGTTGGGAGTGTGTGGAACAGCCCTTCACGAAATGCAAAGAACTGTGGCGAGCGCATCACAGGAAGGCTAAACCAGAAATCACGAGAGACCTCCAAGTTTATTAAAGAGAAATGTCTAATCCCAGTCTCACAGGGCATCTTAACTCGAAACACCACTTGTCCTCCAAAATAGAGAACAGCAATTCCAAAGTAGCTATAAGGAATAGTTGCAAACGATTGCACGAAATGTTGTATTTAGTACCTTGTCTTGGTAAGATTTCATTGCTTAAACAACAGTAAGAAATTCAAAAGTCTCTTCATTGCAAAAGATATTTTTACTTTTTATTTAAACATGTACTTGGCATTCTGTTTAACGTACGACACAGAAATTTATCTCTGTCCATTAGGGCTTTAATTCTATTAAAACATCGCTCTGTTTTGGCAACTTATTGTTTTCCTTTTTTGATGTTTGCTAAGAGAATACAAGATCCTGCAACGCAAGTTGGAACGCAGAAACAGATTTGCTGTCGCTGTTCTCGCCAAGTAAAAGAGTAGGAGGCACGTTGGAGACGCAAGTTTTATCAAGATGGCGTCGTAGAAGGAGAGAAGGAGAGGGGAGAGCATCACTCTCCCTCTGCTGTCAGCTTCCTTTCCTTCAAAAACAAAACATCCCCCCTGACTAGATCACGCTGGTGCTCTTAAGATAACCATCTCCAATTTCAAAATTGAATGATCTTTCTCGTATTACTGCGACGTATTTAATTTAAACTGAAACGTAGAGGAAAGGAAAGCAATTTCCTACCTCCAAAACTCCCATCGGATGGCAGATAATTCTCCCAACAGAATTTTCGGTGGGTGATTCTTCCCTCCATTATTTTACAATTACACTGATAAATAACTCTCAAGCCCGATTCAGGAGTTTTTCTCAACGCTCCTATTAGTTCTGGGGAAAACACCATTGTGTCTCCATACTCAGATATGGAATTTTATCTTCCAACTCATACACTATACTCACTCACTTCTGATCGATATCAAGCCAGACCTTTTCGCCTTTTAATTATGAAAGAATAAACAACTTTTTAAAACTAATTAATTAGCACTGAACATCGTAGAGATGTATTGACTCAATCAAAAACAATGAGTCAACCAAGTGTCAAACTCTACTGAAATAGAAATAAACGGAGGCTTATTTATTTGGTTCACTTTACATCAAGCCACTGGAACTGAGAGGAAATCATGCTTTCAAGACTGAATTCGCCCATACCTCACTTTACGTGACGGGTATTTACTTAAATAGACTATACCTCAACCAATTAGAATGATGTTTCTTGCACCAGAAAAGCGATTTCCATTGCCAATGCAACACCGCATAATTATCCCAGGTAAATTGAAAACGCCTTGGCAGCGCATGAAAAGGACTTTATTAACCCTGTCAAATGATTGGATTGGTGGCGAAGGAGTTGGCGATGTGGAAAGAAAATAAGCTATAGTAGGAAATTTCCCTAAATGTCAGTTTGGAATACAATTGAATTCTGGCGGAGAAACAGAACGCCCAGAGCTCACAAATGCACGAGAGGAAGCGGAATGCGAAACGGCAAGGAGATAGCACAATACACATAAGGGAGGTGGGGAGAGGAAGTGATATACAAAATGGAAGATAAAAGATTTTTCAATAAAATGCGATGAAATAAGGAACAAAATATGCATACACGCAATCAAAATGATTTTCTACTTAAATCCTAGCAGTATTGAAAAATTTTCAAAATCATTGGTTTCGGCAAATTTTGCGCTGCTGGGCTACCACTTGGTGTTGACGAGACTGGGGCATTGGAGTCACAAGCTTGTCGTAATTAGGAGCGGGGGAAATCGGTTGGGTTTTGTTGGAGGAAGAAGGTGGAAGAGAGTTTTCATGAGGGACAGGTGGGAGGGCGCGATGTCGAGTTGTGCCACGAGGTGAACTGTGGTTGCTGCTGGAGAGACTAACGGCTGTGAAGCTTTTTGATAAATTGCTGCAAGTTCTATTTAGTGGAATCATCTTCGAGGTGTCTGTGGAAGGCTCTTGTGCTGAGGTAATGACTGAAAAGACTGGGTGTTGTAAGAGACGTCTCGCAGTAGGTCTCTGTTCAGGAATTCTATTGAAACACGAATCAAGGAATTTTTCAACAGAGGGACTTATAGATTTCGGATAAGGTGGTGGTTGGTCAGTCGATGCAATCTAAAAATTAAATTTGTGCAATATTAGCCTTTTGAAAAGGTGTTGAAAATTTAATTTTAAAGTCAATAAATACTGTAAACATAAGAGCATATTGATTTGTAAGACGAGAGTCGTTCCACGGAGGTTTGCCACTGAGCATCTCCAGAAGACAACAACCCACAGACCAAATATCACACGCTCGTCCATAGGTCTCGCCTCTTAGCACCTGAAGTTTAAAGATAAAATTTAAATTGCTGCTTAACAATAATAAGTAGCGAGTTGCTTGACAAATAGTGATAAAACGCACCTCGGGGGCCATGAAGGCAAAAGTGCCAATCACTTGGCCTTGGAATTGACCTGATACGCTGCCTTGGCTACCAAGTCGTGCAGATGCACCGAAGTCAGAAATCCTCACTACACTCCCAGTACAATCAACTAACAAATTGGCACCTGAAACGAAGCGCACTTGAGTTAATGAATGAAACAGTTCGAGCTTGTCTACTGTAATTAAGTAGCCCCCACCTTTCAAATCACGATGAAGGATACCGTGCTTATGGAGACAAGATATTCCTCGAATCACTTGCAGAGTGTACGCTAAGGAGACAGTTTCAGTGAAAGCGCCGTACTGATTGAGCAAACTTGTAATGCTTCCACCTGGCATCCACTCAACGAAGATGTCCACGTGTTTCTTCTCAGGGTTGTAGGCAATGCCAAATAGACGGAGAATATTCGGATGATAGAGACGTCGCATGATTTCCACTTCTTCCATGGCTGTTGCTAGCTGCTCTTCAGCCTCACTTCCTGATTCACCCACGAACCGAAGTCGCTTCACTGCCATTAACGTGCCTGTGCGAATATCACGCGCCTGATAGCACAAAGAGAAGGCACCCTTCCCCAAAAAGGGGCCCAAGAGCCAATCCACTCCCTCTTTATACCGATATTCCGTCTTCAGGGGATCTTTAGCATCCAGTGTTTGCGCAAGATTAGGGATAGTTACGAGTGGGACTGGAGACCATGCTGCTCTGCGAAGAGCTGTTTTAAGAGCGGATAATTCGGCAGGTGTGGGAACAGATGGAAGAACGGATGTGGTTGAGACCTGCTTTCTTTCTTGTTTATGCTGCTGTGGGAGTTGGGAAGTTCCAACCTCTTCCCAGTCAAGTTTTTCAAGAGGTTCCTCGTCTGCCACGTCCCCATCTTCCTCCTCTTCACTGGAACTATAGACGCCCGCAGTCTCCGAGAGAGCCACGTGGTCATAGGCGGGTTCAAGGGCAATTCGGACCCCATTGGGTGTTATAATACGGGTGTTCTCTGCTGGGGGCTGAGGCGCAGGAGTTGGTTTGCTTGTCTGGGAGAATCGACGTGGAGGAGGGATAGGGGGAAATTCATATTCAGGGGGTGGTGGTGGTGGTGGCGGTGGTGGTGGTGGAGGGGGCTGTGTGGTAAAGGTGGTCGGAGTCATTAAAATGGATGGGGCCACTACCGTAGGTGGGGACTTTATTGTCATATTCGTAGAGAACGGATTCGCTGCAGTTACAGTGGGTGCATTTGTAATTAACAGGAGATCTGACAATTTAGCGCGCAACTTAGCAGCTAAACTGACGTCAAGAAGTTTGATCTCAGCATTGACAAAACTCTCAGCATCTGGAAGGGAGGAATTTCCTCCTCCTCCTCCTCCTGCTGCTGTTGTTGTTGTTGTTGTTGAAGGTGAACGCGGCTCCTGAAGCAAAGCCCGTGCAACCGCGATGAACACTCTTCTAGCCTGAAAAAAGGGTATCCTTGTGCAACTCATTCAGTTTCAAAAAGTGATTGTGGTGGTTAAATGTATTGGCAGAATGTAAATTAAAATGGCAATAACTCTTTAATTTAGAAAAAAGCACAGTTATCTTCATTCGAGCCAAATGTGAACCAACTTATTCCAAACAGTCGATTCTCATTTATCATAAATATTTTTTGCGCATAAAAAATCTGATTTATAAGGTGAGAGTAGACATTATTCAAACCTTTTTCTAATTCCAAATTATAACCAAAAAGCCGCAAAATGAAGAAAGTTCTTACAAGTCGACTGGCCTTGATGTTGGCTTCCATAAGACAAGCAAATGAGCTGACTTGAACACCTTCCACATGTTGTTCCGCCGAGATACCAGTGGCCTTCAAGGAGGATGCATTTGGATTGGCTGAATTGTTAGCGGTTGAGGAGTTGGCCCTTCGGAATTGAGGAGCCATCGCGCCTTCGTTGGCGAGGTTGTGAGGGAAAACCGGCTGATCAGGCGGATAGACATGTCGACGAGCGAAGATGAGACTGGAGCAGAGATGACGATAGCTGATGCGCCTGCTGCACACCGAAGCGGCAGTGACTCCTCTGCTACATGCAACATCTCCTCCTCCTCCTCCTCCGCTGCTCTTCACTTTCGCCACAGTCTCACAATGCATCTCAACAAGCTTCTCCAGGAGTTTCAATCGACCCACCAGATGTGTCTGATGAAACTTGGCGGAGCGCAGCAGGAAGTGCGCCAAGTGGGGCAGTCCGCTTATTGACATGCACTCTTCAGCTAAAATTAATTTCATCACGTCAAATAAACCGTCAAATAATAGCGCACCTTGGTTGAATCTTCCTTGACGGAAGCAAAATTCGAGTCACCTGCATCACATGATATCACCAATGCGTGGCCACTTAAAATGAACACACTTCAACACAAAAAAATCATGAATTACCTAAGAAAAGTTTTCCCCTAAGACAATGGCTCATTAGCCCACACACACACACACACATCCAAATTGCCAATAAGGAAGTGACAAGTTCAATTATTCCGTTTCATAATAAACGAGGGGTACGAATAAAGAAAGCAGTGGATGCCGAGCGCTATTTTAGACCAGGCATTGATTGCTTTAAGAAAACAGTTGACTTAACCTCTGACAAACATCTATTTTACTCATATCATGATAGGATTTGTGTTGGGGAAAACGTTTTTCTAACAATTAAATTTCCAATAAATTTTGATAAGGGCCATTTAGTGATATGATGACTTTATTTTCAATTAAGGATAAAGGTAGGAATATATATAGTTGACCTCGTAAGGGAATTGAAGAGGCCGCAACGCCAACTTCGATAGACGAAGGCGAATTGTCTCTTGCCCAGGAAAAACAATCATTTCCTTTTAATCATTTGATAAAGTTTTTACATTTTCGTTACAACCCCTGCAAAATAGGAGCCGTTGCTTCGCAGAATTTTGAGCAAATTGTGGACGTTTGTTCAATCCGTTACTACCCATGGGTCCACAGTAGTCAAGTTATTTTGAAAGGTTAATTATTTTCCAATGGCCTCTAAGATTTCAAATGGCAATTATTTATTCATCTGGAAATGTACGCTAAAATAGGTAATTTTATCATTCGAATAAGATACGTTAGTTTTGTTAAAAAAACTTTCCTATTCACAGGACGTGTCATTATAAAAGAGTGAAACAAAGAAAGAATAAGAACAGAAATGACTCGTTCTTCAAGCCCAATGAAAACTCATTCCACTTAAGTGCGATCTTTTAGAACAAAAAATAGTGCATTACGTCTATTGCCTTGTTCACCTTGAGGGCAAAATAACTTCCCTTCTGAATGCACAACGAATGCTACAACGAATGAGAGCATTTGAAGGCTTCACTGCGAAGTGCACAAAATCTCAGTTGATTAAAATATGGAATGTGTGAAGTGGCGCATAGTTTGAGATGCCCGGAAACGCGAAGGGCATTGGCGGAGAAGTCGGAATTAATTAAAAGGCGCTGAAAAAAATTCATGTCGGGGAGCTACAAATCGTTAACCTTTTATTAGGCATTATTTCGACAGCCGTAAGCCCTGGACAACGTAAAGCGCCATTTCTACTGCAAGTAAATGAAAAATTGATATCTGCAAGAATTAAATATATAGTTAGGACGTAAGTGAAGATTGTCCTGACTAAATAGTCGAGTTAGGAGAAAAAGCAGCCTCGCCTTCTGGGATCTTCCCCTCCCCTCCCCTCCCCTTCGCCTCACTCTCTTAAAGCTCATCCTTTCCATTTGCTTTCTTTGAGAATAAAAGGAAAAGGGGGAAGAGGGGAGGGGAGGGGGAAGAGGAGAAGGAGATTTGAAATTCCCTCGAGGCCTGAGAAGACCAGCTTACTCAATTGAATGAGAAAATGAAAAAAAGAGCGTAAAGCGCGATAGTCTTTTCGCAAATCGCGTCAGCAAACAAAACAATATCTTCCTTTCGACTGTCTCTTCGTCTAATTCCTCCTCTAATAGCATTACCCCATCACTTTCCCCCTCCCCCCCCCGCACTCTCCCTCACCAGCCCCCCC